GGAGCGCCCGCAGCCACTCAGCCTCGGGCCGCGCTGCCGCCCGCCCGGCCCCGCCTCCGGCCCCCGAGCCGGTGTGGGCGCGGGTCCCACCCCACCCCGGTGCTGGCTTTTCCGAGGCGCCGTTCCACCAGGTGGAGGACCACCACCTCCTCGCCCGGGTACCTGGAGAATTAAAAACCCTATCCCAACGCCAAGCCCCCATCGCTTCCCCGGTTCTACATCTCATAGTCCCAGAAGCTTCTTCTCAAAATGTACACTATTGTAGTTTTACAAAAAGTTGATTAACTTATGTCTCCTCCGCTAGGCTGTGAGCTTCCTGAAGGCAGGGATCTGTGGTTCTGCGCTTCTGCCTTCCCCGCGCTTCCAGACACTTCAAGCCTGCTTGAGTGAATGAGCAAATGAATGACAAGGACTTGAGGGCCGGCGCCTGGTGGACCCCTCTGAAAATTCACTGCTGCCCCTCCTTCCACCCAGGTGGCCAAATGAAGGAATTCACAAGATCCCACTGCACCCTGGCAGCCCTGGGCCTGTTTCCTGCAGCCTGTCCTCCCTGAAGGGGGAGCAGAATTTTGCCGTCCCAAAATATGCCTCTTTAGCGTAAGGATTGTTTTAGACTGATTATTTTTGAGAAATAGTAGACACAGGACAAGCTCTGAAAACTAAGCTACCCTTATGTAAGAGATATTTACATTTATAAGGGAAATCTCCACTTGTAAGGGTGTCTCCCTCTAGGCACCAGGAAGAGAAGGATGACTAAATCTCTAGAAATTCTGATCGATGGAGAAGGCAGCAACTTAAATCTGCTTTACAACCTTACGCTTGTTTAGTGTGCTTTGCCTGAAAACCTCCCATCCCTACCCTCCTCAACATCTTTTGTCTTTAGCTGGAGATGGTGTCTAAAGTGGTGGGTGGCTTGGGCCATATCTGGGAGTTGCTCAGCCTAGGTATCATGTATACAGGAGGTATATGTGTTATTAAACTTCCATTTGTTTTTCTCCTGTTAATCTATCTTTTATTACCCCCCGGGGGGGAGTTGGGGGTGTGTCTCAGCCAAAAACCTAGACAGTAGAGGGAAAATCATTTTTCCTCCCCTGCATTCCCGACTCTTTTTAGAGCTCGATCATTCTGCTTACCCTTACCTTTCTCCCTTAGTGCAGCAAGTACCCTCCAAATTCTCTCACCAGATGCTCCTGCCCAAGAATAGTCATCAAACAGAAACCATCTGCTCTGCCTGGTGCCCCACCACCACCTCTGCAGTGGTCCCCCGGACACATACTCAGGTTCTCTACCTGCCACACAAGAGGGGCCAAATAAAAACTGGAATGCCAAGCTTATAGCAAGGAAAGAGTTTTTATTTCAGGTGACGTCAGCCGGGAGATGAGAGCTCTCAAATTTGTCCCGTCTCCCCGAAAGATGGGAGGCAAGGGGTTTTCAAGGTTACAAGGGAGAGCGTGTGCTGGGGTTTTAGGTAAGGGAGGGGGAGCATGTGGCCATGCTGGTTGGCACCTTTCCACTAGCCTGTGTTTGGCGTTGAAGACTGAATTTATTTCCCTTGGCTGTCTGGACTTTTCTGGTTAGTTTTCCTCTTCAGTCTGTGTTTGGCCTTGTGAGGCTGAATCTTGATTTCCTGGGAAAGACAGCTCACTCATATACTAAGGAGGGGCAGAAAGACCTGGTTGGTTTTAAAGAGTTGATTATGGTGAATATGCACAGGTGCAGTCAGTAAAGCTTATCTCAAAGGTTTTGCTCTCTTCTTCTAGCCCAGGGAAGATTTTTTAACCTCTTCGTGCTGGGTTTCACCCCCTTATCTGCTTGTGGGATGCATTCTGAAACCTCCCACTGGATGCCTGAACCAGCAGATAATGTAACCACAGATCCATTTGGAGCCAGTTCCAACAGACCCCATCTCTTATCAGCAAAGTAATTAAGAAATTGTCTTTCAGAAAATTCACAAAGTCGTATAGCCAGATCATGTTCAAAAGAAGAAATCTTGACCTGAAATAACCACAGAACCAAAGATTCTCCTCCCCATGGAACCAAAAGACTGGGACATGGCCAGAACTTAAAAGTCAGACTCTTACCAGAAGTGAGGGGTCCATTATTCAGGACGATCCAGTGTTAAAATTCCTTCCCCACCTTACCATAAATGTTCAGAACCTCATCGTAAATGTTTAGAATCTCATCATAAATGTTTAGAACCTTACCATAAACATTTAGAACCTTATCATAAATGTTTAGAACCTTACCATAAATGCTTGAAACCCCCCAATCAAAACCTGCCCTGCCAGTGTTTCCACATGCCAGCCTGCTCTCCCTAACCTCTTAAATTTCACCCCAAATCCTGAATCGGAGAGACAGGTCTGAGGGCACATGCCCCCTCTCTTCCTGCAGATCCATCTCGCAGAATAAAGCTGATTTCTCTTCCCAAAAGTTGATGCCCTAGTTAATTGGCTTGTTTATGCACATCAGCTAGGGGAACCCCATTTTTGTGTGGTAACTATAATACCAAACCCTATATATACTATGTTTTTTCCTATACACACATACCTATGATAAAGTTTAATTTATAAATTAGTGAGAGAGTAACAACAATAATTAATAATAAAGTTGGGGCCAGCCCCAGTGGCTTAGTGGTTAAGTGCCCGCGCTCTGCTAC